AAAACTTACAGAGTATAAGAAAATCTGAAGAGATCTGCAGAAGACCAGAGTTCATAAAGCTTACGTACATTAGAGAGTAACAGAGAACTTTCATTGTGGCAGATGAACTCTTACATAAGCAAGAAAAGTAAAGGTCAGCTGATTTTTTGACCTTCACCATGTAGGGTGTTGAAAAATAAATTACCTCAAGGATGTTTTCTCATAATGAATACTTTCCAAGGCTATCTCCTAAAAGAAAAATAAATCCTGCCAGATCAGCTCCTTGTGGAACTATCCAATCTTTATAATTCTCCCCAAATAGGCAACATATACTTTTCCTTTTGACTGGCTGAGGAAACATCTGTTTGCCTCAGGTAGCCTTAGTTAATGAGAAAAGTGTGAGTCCCTAAATAATTTTTTGTCCAGAAAACTTGTTTTCTATTCCCTCTCTGTAAGTGTAATGATCAATGTAATTGATTCCTGCACATTTCTTCTGCTTAAGGTAATTGATTGATGTAAGCACCCTATTTTAAGTTCAAAAATGGGAATTGACATATTTCAGGCCAGTGAGATGTGAGGGTTCAAGAAAGGTCTTCTTTATCCTAAGAAAGAGACATAGTAAGTGATGATCTTTAATCGCTTTACATTTTCTTGTCTGAATGTGACCCCTAAAATTGTCACTGTCATCTTGCTACCAACTTAAGGATAATGCCAACAAAGAATGACAGACAGAAGAGACAGAAATAACTGGGTCCTTGATAATGTCTTTAAGCAGATGATAGTCCATCTCCGTAGCCACCCAAACTCTGGACATTATTCTTATTATATCATATAATAAATTTCCTTAAATTTTAGGTGTCTTTTCTTCTATGTGTTAAGCCTGATACATTGGTCTTACAATCAAGAGAGAAAAAGAACAAAATTCCCAATTCAAAAAAAAAAAATGAAGAAACATATTCTGTAGTGTCTTTTACGTGTAAGACACTGTACTATACACTAAAGGAGAATCAGACATGCTTGGAAAATAGCTCACTCCCCATTCAAAAAGGGTATAATTTGGATGGGGGTTATACTTATGTATACCAATGAATGAAGATAATTCTATCTGTAGGACAACTGACATTGATATTAAAATACAAAATGCTATAGTAAACACAAAGGATTGTCAATTCCCGTACTATAACAGGGAGTCTTGGGGAGCAGAAAACAATGGAAGGGTAAAATTCGGTAACTGCCTTGGAGAATTCAGAGGAATGAGAGGAGCAAAAAAGTGAGTGGCAATTTCATGAAGTTTTAGCAAAAGCACAGAACTTGAAAGGAATTTATTTTGAAAGGAACTAACAGAACAGATTGGGTAAAAGAATGGGAGAGAGGAAGGGAGGAAAGCAGAAAATAAATGGCAAGTGAGGGAATAATGAACAGTGGATAAAAATAAGACTGGAAACAGGGAGAGCCTTAGAAGTCAAGAGAAATCTGGAGTTCATTCAACTTCATCGGAAATCAAGAACTCCAGAAGTGTATAAACAGAGAAGAAATATGGTCAGATTTTTATTTGTTTAAGAGATAACACTGATAGTCATGGTGAATGGATTAGATAGGGAGAAAATGGAGATTCTCTTTTATAAGATAAACTCAGTTGAATAATGGTATTATCACTTACACTACAGGGAAATATTGAAATACTTGCCACCTTATCAGTTTGGCCTGTCAGCTGAGGCTTTATTTGGTCTGCATCACAGCTCAGTTCTTTCTTTATCTAATACTACTTCCCCAGTGGCCCTCTCACACGTGTTGATCCCAAGAACACTCCCTGACAAACACCCTATAAACTAATCTCCCCCTCCTGGATGGCTTTTGGGGGAATTTAACCTATAGCACAACAGTAAGAAATGGTTCCAGATCCATATCCTTCACTTGGAATGCAATCACGTTGGGCTGGTTCTGATTATTTCATTTTGGTCTAGTGGTGGGAGGAGGAAATGTCCAATCAATGTGCATATCTATCCTGAACCTGTCCCACAGAGGGATGTCCAGAGTATTTCTTAGCTGAAGAGAGAGGCCTTATGGACCAACAGTGGAAAAGCCTACTAAGTGAGAAGTATCCCACCCCATGCATGCTTATACTTGCCACTAAGTCTATTAAATCCCTATGGAAATAGTCATTTCTGTCAAGAAAAGATCAGAATCTTATCCCTCTAATCTAAATAACAACAACAAAACAAAAAACCCCAAAACACAAAACAAACCACTTGGTGTACTTAAATTTTACCTTCTAGAGAGTAGAAATATCCTAAAAGGTCAAATTTTTATGCTCTTCCTCTACAGTCATTAGTCATCAAAACTATTGAGCATCTAACTGTACCATTCATTGTAGAAGACTCAAAATCTCTTTTGAATAAAGATAATACAAAGGATATTTGCTGAATTCATCTGGTAAAGGATGTTGCTAAAAATCCCGGGGATTCCCCACTAAAGGCCTGTGGCAGTTATGAAGTAATGATGGCCATTTTTCAATAGGCACATCCTTGTTTGTACAAAGACTTTTACATAAACACATATCCTAAAATTTGACACTGCAAATGAATGCTTTCTGCAGACTTTTTTTTTTTTAATTTCCCAGAGAAAAATATCCCCAACCAGTCACTCCTAACTCAATTATATGTTGTAGATTGCTTTAACTCTAGGGCATACAAAGGACATCCTTCAGCCCCACAGAGTCCCACCATGTGTGGTTTCTTCCACAGAGAAGTTTGGATTTTTGCTGAAGGGCATAGAGCCAATGCAAACCACATAGGTCTAAACACTTCTAAAGCACTCCATCTTGACACTTAAACTTGCTACTGTGGAGTACCTTTTAGCACTGGAGTGATTTATATAAATTTTCAATGTGGATACCTACATAAACATAAATTATTTCCTTTGTATACATAACCTCTTCATGAATTATACATTTTATAAAGATAAAGGAATATCAGTTGGGCAGAAAATCTTTGGTACAGTCCCTAATTTTACAATGTGTTCAAATAACCGTTTATTTCAATAGTATCATGAGGGAAATCAATATTTCATAAACATTTATTTTATTAAATATTAGCACATTTCAAGGATGGAATGCAGCCAAAGAGAGATTTGCTTAAAATAGTCACAGAAGGAAGTTATGTTATCAGAACTTATTTTAAGCAATGATCTAATACACTCATTTCAGATAAATGAACTTTTTCTTCTAATCCCTGAAGGCAGAGAATAGCAGAAGAACAAATTCCCTTAAAAGTATGAATTGCTTTTTGCTCTTATACTAAAACTGAGACATATTTGGAAAAATGCTTTGTTAGCTATGTAGCAGCTCTTAAAGCAAAACTGTGAAACTAAGATTTTCTTTAGTGGCTTTCATAAAAGAAGTTATCTCTTAAGATATTTATTGATGATTGAGCTATTAGTTGATACCATCAATAAGCTCTCTGATACAAACACTTTTTTAAAAAATTACTAAGGAAAAAATACACCCTTAAAAATAAATGGAATGGAACTATAATGGCACAATGAAGGTAAGCTTTTCAAATTCTAGTACATAATTCACTGCTTATCAAACTACAGAATTAGTTTTTTTAAAGAAGATAATCTTATGAGTTTGTAAGTGTATTTGGACTGTTGCAAATCAAGAACAACTACTGGTAACATTTTACCCTCAAACCTTCTTCTAGAATCATCTAATACATGCATATACACTTGCATTCAAAATCATCTAATACATGCATATACACTTGCATTCAAAGACTATTTCTTTATCAAGTCTAAGCATTCATAAGGGGTATCTCTTTTTCTTTTGGTATACCTAAAAAATGGACAGGAGAACTACTTAAAAATTAAATTATTAAAAGGCAAAAAACAGTGTTTCTGATGCAGGCATTAATTAAGCAATATTAATACATATGGAGATAAATATTTTGCCTGTCTAGACTAAAGCTCCTAGTCCTGAATGATATTTAAATAACTGAGCAATAAATATTTAGTTATTAAAAGCATTTCCAAATTAGAGGTTTAAATTAAAGTGGTCATTGAGGTGAAAGCTATTTGAAGCTTCAAAGTTCTATGATGACCTATGAACAGCCCTTTCTGAATGGAAAGAATCTTCTGTTAATTCACTATTGGAAACTATTGACCTGAAATCTTTAATGGCTCTTAGCATTTTTTTGAGGGGAGTGGGAATACTTCTGAAAAAGGAGAGAAAGAGAAAACCATCTAAGATGTCTCATAGATGCAGAATGGGTCATGGATTATGTCTAATCCTTCAATCTCTTCCAGTCTTGGCGTCCATCTTGGCTTGCACAGATAATGGTATTTGTTAAAGTACCAGCTGGTCATAATTTATAAAGCCTAAAGTGTGACACTGTTTCCTTTGGGTACCATGTTCCTAACTGCAAATGCAATGCACAGCAGCAGCTGCCTTTTGTTTTTTCAATAATTAGCATATATTTTCTTTTAGTGGTAGATTGCTTTTCATGAGCTCATATTTGGGTTATTTCTAATCTTCACCCTCTGAGTGTGATTGGGCCATTGGAAAATACTATTTCAGTGAAAATACAAGAGTGTAGGGAGAAAAAAACAGTGTGGTGTTAAAACGCTGGCAGTCACACTGCCAATTTAAAAGTATGGTTGTTAATTGAAAGTTAATACAAAACTTAATTTTGCAATAATTGCTTTAGATATAAATGTTAATTATTAATAACCCATTTGCCAGCTTTTCAATCTAAACCATTGCATTTCTCTTGTATAATCTCTTTCATTCATATTCTCAATGGTTTTACTACTATGCTTATTCACTCTAAACGGAGAATATGTATATGTACTTAAATCCACAAAAATCTAAAACGTGTATCCAAAGCAAGATGTCCTTTTAATAGGCTCCATTTGGACATGTAAATGACCTAGTGATTTGACATCAAGTCACTTAAAACAAAAGAAAAGGAAGGCACAGATGAAGATAAATGGATATTCAGTCAACTTCGTAAAAACAAACTGACCTTCTTAAAATTTTTGTTTAAGTCAACCAGACTGAGCAGGAAGATGTGGTCCTTGGCTCCTACAAGCAGCCTGCCCCTCTCCTCATCCAACAGAATGGTTTGGAAATCTAGTCCTTCTGATGAACCCAAAAAGGGTATGCAGCTATTTGAAAGCAGCAAGTCTATGGGAAAGTAAAAGGAGAATAGAAAGAAGGAAAAAATTAATTGGCAAAATATTTATTTGCCTCAATACATACTTTTCACACTCTGTAAATGAATATATACAGCACGAATGCTTCAATTTAGATACAAGCAAACAATATACAGTTTTAAGCACACACTCATGTAGAAATCAATGTGATTTATGACATTTGTATTTTATTAATACAATATGGATGTAACATGAAAAAATAAAAGACACTAAAATGGGTATCAAAGCAATTAAATGCAAAATATTTCACAACTCTGGTCATCTTCTTAAGTCATTAATTAAAGCATCATTATATAGCACATTTGCACTCAGCATCGAACTGAGTGTGACAAACCTCAGAGCATTTCTTTGCCCTCTACTTTTGATAACATTAAGACTCATGGGTGAGTTTGGAGGATTATACTCTTCCTAGTTCATGTATTCAGGAAGTAAACAAAGTAGCCAAATCCAAGAAAATGGATTCTGAAAGATATATTATCCTAAACCAGTAACGGGATCAAAACTGTAGGGCGCCTGGGTGGCTCAGTGGGTTAAGCCTCTGCCTTCGGCTCAGGTCATGATCTCAGGGTCCTGGGATCGAGGCCCGCATCTGGCTCTCTGCTCAGTGGGGAGCCTGCTTCCTCCTCTTTCTCTCTATGCCTGCCTCTCTGCATACTTGTGATCTCTCTCTCTCTGTTTCAAATAAATAAATAAAATCTTAAAACTGTAAAGCAGGAAGGGACCTTGAAATTCAATTAATACAAAATCATGATTTTATAAATGAAGGTATTTAATTCCTCCAAGATGAAGCTACATGCCCTAAAGTCACAATGTCACGTGGTGGTAAAGCTGATAATGTAACCTCAGTCCCAGTCTCCATTTCTCTTTGACACGTGTCTGTATGTCCTAATTCTTTTTTTCAGTCACAGTTGTGATATGGACAGACTTATTTAAATCTAGGTCTGGGTTTATAGAAATACAAATCTTTTCAACAGATTTTGCCTCAAGTATTTGTCTTAGCTTCTCATTTTCTACAACTGTATAATATTGAATACAAATAAAGTAATAATATCACTCATTCCTTATTAAAGTCCATTAGCTATTGCTGGACTTTAAAACTAAAGCATTATTTTCAAGTAAGTCATTATTAATTGATGAGAAAAATATGAAAAAATGATGTCTCAGAAGAGGTATCAAGATACTTCTGAAATGTATCATGGCATTGTTTAACCTCTATAAAAGGGATCTTTGAGTCTTTGAAATTTAAAGCCTATATATTCCATATATCAACTGCAGGCTTTATTTTTATTTCACTTTTTTTTTTTTTACTAATTTACTAATTTACAGTGGTTAAATGTTATTTCCCTTATTCATCAAGACAGATTTTGATCTTAGTTTTGACAAACCATGAGACTGTATGCTGGAGAAGATACAATACTATCTGAATTCTCAGGCAAGTATGGTCTTATTAGTGTTCATGAATCATGCTTTATGTTCACTGGATAGAAGTCTGAACTCTACATTAATTATTTTCTATTAAGCTTGATATAACTTTAACAGGTTTTCAGACCAGAGACACATGGAATAATATTTTCTAGCATCTCCAAATACATAAGCTTATTTTTGTAGGACTCATACCCAATAAACTTTCCACACTAACCATAAAGCAGAACTGAGGAAAGAATAATATAAGCTGTTAATAAATCATGGAACTGCGAGGAAAAAAGGACTTCATATATGATCAGCATCAAAATGGTGCCCGGCACACAGTAGGTTCTATACAACTATCAGTGATTACAATCATGATGATGTATTTTTTAAACTTTCTACAAAATCTATAAAGAGGAAGTCATTATATTTCCCAGCTCATATAATTGTTAGGATGCTTAAAAGAGATAATTTATATAAGGTTCTTAAAACAATAGCTTAAATAGCTTAAAACAATAGAAGATAGGAAAAGTTCAATAAATATTGACTGTTACTTTGAGTACAATTATTAAATTTCAGCTTGGGCAAAGTAAGTTCTATGAAAGAAGAATGTTATCTTGCCTTCCCTTAAACCTGAGTTGTGAAGATGAGAATTCCTCTCTATTTTTTTTTTATAAAACTGGACTAATATTAAAAAGCTATTCAGGGGGTGCCTGGGTAGCTCATTCAGTTATGTGTCCAACTCTTGTCTCAGCTCAGGTCTTAATCTCATGGTCATGAGTTCAAGCCCCACATTGGTTGGACTCCACACTTTAAGTAGGCATGAAGCCTATTTAAAAAAAAAAAAAGCTAGTCAGTCTACAAATAATTATAAGAATCTATTATGTGTTAGGCATTGAGCATACTGTTAAGGGTGTGGTCATGACTAAGCCCTGTCTTCAAGGGGCTCACAGATCAATCCATAAATAGATACACATACAAAATACAATATAAGTGAAATAAATTCTAATACAAGTATACACAAAAGAAATCTTTCAAGTAATTGTGTATCACCATATAAAAGAAGATGATAACCGATAATAGTGTTGAAAGACAAATGGAAGCTTTAGAGGAAAGATAGAAAAGTTTATTTAAGGCAGAAGAACACAGGACCGTACAAGGGCATCATACATCGTATTCAATGTATTAAAATTTTTTTAAAAGATTTTATTTATTTATTTGGGAGAGAGAGAGAGAACGAGCAGGGGGAAGGTCAGAGAGAGAAGGAGAAGCAGACTCCCCGCTGAGCAGGAAGCCCAGTGTGGGACTCAATCCCAGGATCATGACCTTAGCAAAAAGCAGATGCTTAATGGACTGAGCCCCCCCGCCCCCAGGGACCTTCAGACACTGCATTTTTAATATGTCTCCTACTCTGCAGTGTCAGCTCCTTCAGCACAAAGACTGTGTCTAACTTATCATTGAATCCATATCACTAGCTCAGTGTCCTGGAGACAAATTAAGTACTTATTAAATATTTGTGGAATTAAAGTATAGTTTGGAATGCTAGAACATATACTGTACGTGTGAGGCTGGACATCAATGCAGCCTCCAGATAATCAGAGCCCAAAATGGCACGCTGGGGAGTTTGGTTTATCATCTAGGTATCCGGAAGCCACTAAAATATATTACACAGAAAAGTGACAAAGACTTTAACTGAGTGTTGGGTAAAAGAGTCTGGCTGCAGTGTTCAGGATGGATGGGAATTGGAAAAGTGGGAGCAAGGAGACTACTCAGAAGTTTCTGGAAGATGGTAAGTCCTTGAGTTATGGCAATGCTAATGAGGGGAGCAAGATATTAAAGAATCTTGCCTCTCATTTGTTGTTTCTACTGGTACCGCCAGGGAAATAAAATTGAAGTAGTCACTTGCTTTCCTTTCTTTTACTATAACCAATTCTATTGGGTTTAGTTTCAAATGTGACAAGGACAAACAGCTGTGAAAATAGTGACTAACGTAAAGTATTATAATTTCAGAATGATTTAATGTTGCCTTGTAACAATGTTAGTATCAAAACGATTAAAGCATGGTTCACCAATCCTTTGTAGCCAAACTAAATAATTAGACTTAGGCATTACACATGAAAATTTCTCAGGCTGACGTATACACTTTGAAAAGACCTTGGGACAGGGATTGGAACAGGTTCCCTCTTCCCCAAGCAGCTTATCTTTCTTGCATTTCTGCCAAACCAAGCAAACTCATTTTTGTTTCCACAGGATCAACAGCTAAAGTCCAGGGGGGAGGAAAAAGAAAAAGAAAAAAAAAAAAAAAGAAAAGAAACAACAACCAGGGGTGCGGATGGGGGGTAGTTAAGTCCAGACCCTGCATCTTCACACCTATAACTAATACACCCCCAGGATTTCTGGGATCAGAAATGGATGCAGGCTCTGCAGGCTGAAAATTCATGAATGTTAAAGACTAAAAATTTGGCAATATATTTCAGAGGTTTATTTTCTTCTTCTCCTAAAGTGGCAATTCTCAGACATGTAATTTTTAAGACTGTCCATAGTTTGTAGTCCTTTTTGAACAGAAACTCTGGATGGTGGGGCAAGTGTGTTGCTTTACACATGCCATTCAAAGAGGCCTGTTCTGTAGATACTCAGCCCGCCTCACCTCTCCTCAGAGGACAGCAGCCTTTGCCTCTAGGTCCTAAATGCATTCTTTGTTCTGTCTACCTAAACCTTTGACCTAATCCACTGTAATCACTCCTTCTAACTGTTCTTGTAGTAATTCATTGTCCTATCGCCTTATTCTCAGTTTGTAGTGTCTCTCAATGTCCCAGGCCCTCAAATCCCCACTCTTGGTCTAGCAATATACTTTTGGAAAAGCTACAAACTTATTTTTTTCTGAAATAAATGAAACAAGGATTATTGATTTATTCCACTAGGGTAAATATGGAAATCAATTCCAAGGTGGATTTTAATCAAATGATGACACAGACAAAGTGTTCATGCTCCAAGATCAATTAACCACCGCAGAGCAACAGGATGGTTCTGAGGATCAAAAACCTACACATAACATGATTTTTCCTATGTCTGTATGTGTGTGTGCATTTTTCTGAAGGGTACATCCAGAGTCTTCATCAACATCTCCTGATACCTGTCCAAAAGTCACAGAAACTGTGTACTTCCCAGATGTAGTTAATACCCATGTTTTGAATAATTTCTCATTTCTAGCGCTAAAAAAGTGAGTCACTACCTTTATAAAACTTGACTTCGAAGGCAAACAACTGAGTCACCTAAGAACACCAAGTACTCTGCCCATATTGCAAAGACTCTGGTAGCGAGTTCCAATTACAAGGATTGGACAGCCAAGCGCAGAGGAAATGCTCTTCCACAACAAAAATGAAAATATGCTTGTGACAGAGAGCAACAATAAAGTTGTAGGCTGCTAAATATCTTTAATAGTAAAATGAAAAAAAATTCCTGTCTGCATTTCTTTTACCAAGCCAAATAATGCTACTTCAGTTCTCCCATCATTACCTGTGGGTGGAGACACCAAATGGTCTCTAAGCTCCTTCCAGTAATGGA